TATATAATATATATATACTATATATATATATATATATATATATATATATATATATATATATATATATATATATATATACACACACACACACACATATATATATATATATATATATATATATATATATATATATATATATATATATATATATATATGTCAATGGCTTCTCCAAGGGGGTGAATACGTACAATGGCGGCGTTAACCACAAAACAAAGTATTTATTCAGATATCAGGTCACATATATATGAATAGCGAACAATCATATATGACAAACTTAGGACTGGACAGCTATGAGTATAGTGATTACAGTAAGTAGGAAGCCTGACATGGACATTCTTGATGAAAGTAATGAATTATCAAAAAAATTATTCCAGTTTGAATAGGTATAACCAACTTTCAGATGGCCGATTGGTGGAACTACTGGTATTATTTGATGCCAGTATATGGAAATGTCCGCGATATAATTCATAAACCTGGTTGCAAAGATTGATATTTGCCCCCAAAGACTGCATATTCCCAGAAATGATTCGGATTCTTTGAATAGATTCCTTTCTTTCCTCGGAATGTCGGTGACTGATCTTGCAAATATTATATCAACACGTACTTTCAGACATGTGACGTGGACTGCCACCATAATCAATTGGTGAATGTGCGCTACCACTGCTACTACCCTGTAAATGGTTGGTAGGGTGCGTTTGTTGCGATGTGTAAGAGACTTTCTGCTTAGGATGCTCCGCAGCAATGGCGGCCACATACGATGGAGGAGGTGCAATATTCTGAACTGTTGGGGGATATGTGTTTGTAGTGGTTACAGTAAAGTGTTCTGTCGCTGGTATTACGGATGTGCCGTGGTATGGTGTATAGATTGCGTTGGGAGGTAGTGCGGCGTTGGGTATATTACTTGGTGTCGGTTGGGCTGAGCGAATCGGAGGTATCTGTCCTTCAGAAGCTTGGTATTGCATTTGCGAAGTGTTAGTTTGATAGACAGGTGATGCATCGAAAGTTCCTTGACCGCCCATTTTTGGGTCAGTTGATTGCTGTTGCAATTTTATATCTCGATTGTACGCTTGCGTACGATTGCGTATGATCGAGGTTGCAACTGACAACACAATCAATGCTATGAAAATCCACCACCACCAAGATAACATTTTTGATTTTTGGCTAAGTATACTATTAAATAGTGTGTATTCGTCTTGAAATATTTGATGTGTGAGAACAAGACAACAAGTCGGTCCGTTTTATGAGCATACGTGATCTAGAGAGAGGGAGAAGTCTTTACGTGCCACACATGGTGTTGCATACTTTCAATGCCATTTTGGCATTACTTGTTATATAGGCATATATGTACTCCCCTTTATTTAGTTATACATAATATAATATTTTATATAAATATTTATGCTCTGGTAATTGTGTTTCTATTAAAATCTACTTGATCATACTGATTACGTATCTATCGACAGAGTAGATGAAACGATGACTCATGACTCCATCACGAACCTACTCCGGATAGCCAGGAGACACGAAGGTAAGTAATGTTTGGGAGTATTTCACTGTCTATGTAAATACTAAATAAAATACCACAGAAGTGGTCAAAGTGTGGAGGCATGTGTTGAAAGATGTTTTCCACTTAATGGATCTAGTATCAATATCAAAGAAACATGGCTACCACTGGAAGTTTTGGCAGGTCTTCCGTGATTCAATCTTTGTTGATAATACCTCGGACCGTGATGCCGTTGTTGCCATCGTGCAGAAGCAGAATAGAACCTATGACGAAAGATTACAAACAGCTAGAGGTAGAAGATATATACGCAAGCGGGTTCGTAGACACATCCCCGCACCGCAACTACTTTACCCTTCTGAATTATACACAGTGTATGATTCAGAAGGCTATGATTTTTTGTGTGTTTACCGTTCAGTATTTGAGTATTGAGTATTGAGTAATCACATTTATTTACGTCTAAATATACGTTTAGTTATTCACGATAACATAGTGTTCAATTTAGAAGGCTGTGAGTAAAACGATGAGTCACGAATTTACTATATCATGAAAATTCATTCTCTCTCTAGAGTGCTTCTGTATTCCTACAGAGTCGTGTGCAGTGCTAACAAGTACTAAAATAACTACAAATTCGGAAAATCCACATATGAAGCTACATAGAATTAAATCGAGTGTGGACATATTTAACCAAATAGTACAACAATGTGCGGTGCAGCGCAATGATTAGAAGATAAAGGAGTCGCACTAATAAGGCCATCAGTGGTCAATAATACGATTTATGCTTTATTAATGCATATTATGGTTCATTAGGTGCTTTGGATTTGAAGCAATAACTTCTAAGGTTCTTGGTCGAATCTGCACAAGTATAAGCACTTCCAGATTCGCCTCACATCTACTTATATGCTAGCTATCGTTGTGATATTTGTGATTTCCTGGCAATCATAGACTTATATCCGTTAGTATGCCTACCATAGTAACGGATTATATGTAATCGAGATTGTGTATCTGAATCGAAATTTTTCTTAGCCATGTGATCTTCCAGGTCCTACATTGCTGTCACTACCACCCAGTTCGAGTGCACGGCGATACGCTGCCCACACAGCTTTACTCATTACGGTTCGGAAACCCCCAGCTTCCAGTTCGTAAAGCGCTGTTGCCGTAGTCCCACCTGGTACAAATATGATAAGAATGTTAGTTCAAAAAACCCCCCAAAAATTTATATTTGACTGGTCTATTCAGATACCAGTAGCTTAACCGCTTGAAGCGCATATGCTGCGACTACCTTATGTGAATAATCGACATGATAGAAATGCACAAAAAATTTCATGCAAGTTGGTGCGTATTTAATCTAACCAGAACATGGAAGCTCTTTGCCATTACACTGCGGATGCGCACAAAACATTTTGAAATTTTTATCATGCACAACGACCTTGAAAACTCTACTATGCAACAGCATGACACACGTGCATCTTCATAAAGACAGTGAATAGTGCTGCAGTGCTTGAACCAAAACATACCTGGTGAGGTGACGTCATTTCTGAGTTTAGCCAAGTGTATCTCATCACTATTAATGCTGTACATGGTTGTGCCGAGCAATGTTTGTTGGGCGAGCTTTTTGGCAACATCCCTTGGGAATCCCAAATGTACACCACTGTCGGTCAGCGCTTCCATCATCAGCATAACATACGCAGGCCCACTGCCAGAGATGGCAGTGGCCATGTCAAGATACTTCTCCTCGCTAACATAGATCTGGATTGTAGAATTTGATAAATCAGGGAACATTCAAAATTGCGTTGATGTCATATACAAAAATATATCTATACACATATATATATGAACCGAAACGTGTACACACAAACACAGATATATATATAAATATATATTTGTGTGTTTGTGTACACGTTTATATATGTATACATACGCATGTATTATAAGTGTGTGTATATATACATATACATATTCATACAAGTATGTGTACACATATACAGGTGTATACAAATTCATACATATATATATATATATACATATATATATGTTCTTATCTGTATACGTTTATATATGTATATATACAAATATATTACAAGTGTGTGTACACATATACATGGTATATACAAATTGGTATATATATATATCTATATATAATTTGATAGCGAAGTGTAGTTGCGTACGTATATATATATATATATTTATAAAAATAAATATATGTATGTTTGTATATTATATATACAACTACATATATGGGTGTGTGTACTTGTATGAGTATACATACATACATACACACACACATATATGTATGTATGCATGTATATATACATATACATATATATACAAACATACAAATATTATTTGATACGCGTAGTTTAGTTGTGTTGATTTAAAAAATTAGATATATGGAATGGAATATATATTTGTATATACACATATATATACTTATACATATGTATTCGTGTATATATATACACATGCACATAAAATTTATACATGTACATACCATATACATGTGTGTGTAAGTTTATTACATATCAATGTTATGTATATATAAATATACATATTATTGGATGTGCGAAGTGTATTCGTGAAAGTATGTATACATATATATGTACATACATACTTACACATGTACATACATACATACATACATAATTTGATACGCGTAGTATAGTTGTGTAAGTACGTAAAAGTATGTGTACAATTGCAGGTGCCCAATTATTCGAATGCATACCTCTTCGCCAACCGCAGCAAAGAATTGTTGCACTGTATCCTTATTCTCCTGTGTGCATTCCTGACTGCCTGTCCAAACGGTCATGCCCTGTGAGATGAACGCTGGTGTGTTGCTCATGGCACGCACAATCCGCCGATGATTCAGTGTCGTTGAAAGCGTATTCATATTCACACCAGCCATTACTGAAACTACTGTGGTTTTAGGAGATAGTGCTGATGCGATGACCTTGCCGACGTCGGTGACATTGTTAGGTTTGACTGCGAGAATCACGACGTCGGAATCTGTGATCTGTAGGGGATCCAAGAAAATCGTTTAAGTATACAAATGCACGTAAGCCTGAGGAATATGCAACTAATATGTATGCCAGCGTATGTGCATCTGTTGTCCATGTAATTATACACATATGTGTAGGATCAAATTTTTATTTAGCAAGATAGCTACACTCCCGTAAAGAGTCAAATATAGTATAAACATGATATATCATTTCAGTTTCTTAATAACCATGCACTCTCGAGCGTACAAGTGCAAGCCTAATGCATGTACATGTAAACGAGCGTGTTTGTGGTACAATTTACATCGCGTATCTAAGTCTGTGCGTCATTTTAATAGTTCACGACAATGCTGTGCATCAAGGCCGTGTCGACGAATGGTACTCCAAAAAGTAGAATAGTGAGACTAGGAACCCATGATTTAACGTAGGCCTATGCAAACTAATTCATAAAAATCAAGAGATTGGAGAATACAAATATATGGATATAGTCCAATCGAGCACAACACTGTCACATGTAAATACATGCACACTACGCTATAATTTTATCGAAGTAATTCATAATTTCAGCACAAGAAGGCTAAAAGTTGAAACAGCACACAGGCCTGATCGCCAATGACCTAGCAAAACATTTGTCAGCGTGTATACTGTAGGCAGCAAACTAAACCGATCCATAAGTGACAAACAATGTAAGGAAAGCAAGCACCCACACTCGAACACCATAATCTGTTACATCTTCCATTCAGAAATAAACCATCAAATACTTACAGCAGTCCAACTATATGTATATCTGTGTGACGGGCCCACCTGTGTCAAACTTTTGTTGTTCCCGAGTGTTAAAACGCTGCACTGCTTTATGATTGACTCTGCTACACTGAAAGTTTTCAGGAATCACATACCGCATCTAGCATTGAATTACTTGCTACACATCCATATTTCTTCGAAATGTTCGCAGATACTTTGGCGTTGATATCGTATACTACCACCTGGTCTGCAGGCAAGGCTTCCTTGCTGATGATGCCATTGATCAGAGCCTGAGTACAAACAGTGATCCATATTATTCAATTGCATTTAACTACAAACACACAAATATACGTATTTAGTATTTTATTTACTACCGAACGCTTTTGTACTCATGTACAATTGAAACTTATCCAACGGTCATCATAGCGACTGCGCATCGTATCAGATACAGATGCAAATGCAAATAAACATCGTGTAAATCCTCCAGGAATTTGAAACAGATAGGGCGAGGATTTTACTGCAAGAGCATAAGGGCGAAACCATGAAGAGAATATCTTCGAGTTCTAACTAATTAAAATAAAACAAGTATGAGATTTCACTTCAAAATTATTACAAATACATACACAGCCAGGGACAAATAAGGGTTTGTATATCGCTGTGCGTGTTGGTAGTATATGAACTAGGCGTACCTCAGCCATACGACCAGCGCCGATCATGGTTAACCTTCGGCAGGTTGTGGGAGCGAGAGTCCCAGCAGTCTTGAGAGCGGCTGACATCCTGGAAGCTTGATTGATGTTATCGGTGGAAGTGTAGATAGGAGTAAGGTAAAACAGTCGATATATCACCTTTTATATCAAAACAATGCTAGGTACATACATAACTATATTTTATTTTCAATACACTAACTGACTGTGGGAGTGTGGACAGGACTGGACTGTGGAGTGTGGCAGTGTGGACTGGACAGTGGACTCTCACTGTCTCACTGTGGCTGTCTCTGCCTGCGCGAGTCTGCAGAAAAAAAGCCTCTACTGTGCTCTACAGCTATTTCGTCATGATAAGTATAAGTAGAAGGAAATGTTTTGACACGTCGTGCCACTGTGTCATGCGGTCACTTGGCCAGTCAGGAACTCAAAGTCAGGGTCCAGGACTCCAGGACTCCAGGGGCCAAGCTCACACAAGGGCTACAGGGCCCCAGTCCCCAGGCACCAGGGGCCATATTTGTTTTTTAATAAAACAAACAGGGTTTCTACCTTTTTGTTTCTACCTTTTTGGTCCATTTTGCAACCTTTTTTTTCTCGAGTTTTTTCAAATACATACACAAAAAAACACACTTGATTTTTCAAAGGAACAATGTAAAAACTTCACTGTTCAAAGGGTACTATTTTAAAAATACACAAATATGACTGTAAGATTTTGTTTGTTAAAACAAAAAAAAACAAAAATGAACTTTTACACAGATACGGTAGTCAGTATTTTGTTTTTAGAAGGCTGTGAGTATGTAAATATAAAAATATCTATTTGGTGAAGTGTTTTGAACTAGCTTTTATAAAAATTTACAAAAAACAAATATGAAGAAAAACAGAAAAACTATAAATAAAAACAAATAACTATGGCACATTCGCGCTTCGCAGTTCCAATCTCTTGTTAGGGAATTGACCATCACTATGGTGTTGACGAAAGTGATAATAAATGGGCTAAAATCACGCGAATTACATTTTAAAAGCAAAGTAAACTCGAAAAAGTAGGCCTGAGGCGGTTAGTAATTTTATTGTCACTAGTGCCGTATAAAGACATACTGGACAGTCAATGTACATTTAAAAAAACCAGTTAAAAAAAACAAAGTATTCTAAAAAACCCCTTTTAGGGTTTAGATACAAATAGAGTACATATTTGTGTATCTATTTACTGTTATTTATTGTAGATTTGTAAATAGTGAATAGTCACTATTTAGCTCTAGAGGGAAAGAGACTGGAGAGAGTCGGACTGTCAGTACTCACATATACATGTATACATATATATATATATATAAATAAATATAAATACACACTCACACACACACACAAACACTTCTATACATATATTATATGTATAGATATATGTATATATGTATGTATCTATATATAATATATATATATATACATAAACATATTATATATATGATGTATAATTAAACACACACACACAAACACTTCTATACATATATATATATTTACATATATATATATATCTATAAATATATATATATACATATTTAATATATACATACATATATTATATATCTATATAAAATATAATATATATACATGAACATTTTACATATATGATGTATAATTAAACACACACACACACACATACACACATATATATATTTATATATACACACACGAAATTATATATGTATATATGCATGTATGTGAATACCTTTTATTATATATATATATATATATATATACATAACATACATACATATAGTACATAGTATATAATATATGTATGTATATATATCAATATATATATACACACACACATAAATATGTGTATTTATAAATATATATATATGTGCAATATATATATATGCAATATTTATATATATATATGCAATATTTATTTGTATATATACATAACATACGTACATATATATATATACATATATATATATATACATATAGTATATATCAATATATATATATATGTATGAGTATACGTATAAAAACAGGATATATACATTACATATATTTATTGCATATATATACATACATACATATATATATATATATATACACATATATATATATGTAATATATATATATATATTGATATATATACATACATATATATATATATATATACATATATACATATGTATATGTATAATATATATATACTATACATACACACACACAC